AGAACCGAGTCAGCGCATGAAAATGAGCTGCTACTGAAAACCATCGGCGTAAACTTTGATTTAAACCTTTCTGTAGATCCTGATGAGAGTCCAAAGCAGCAGCAGCTGCAGCGACCTGTGATGTTCAGGTCACTCTGCAGATTAACTGTGGGATCACATGAGACTCGACTCCAGCAAAACAAAGATTTATTCTAAAGCTTTATGCTTAGTTGTGAAAATACAGCAGCATCTTCTCTGGAAAGAGGTTTTTTTTTTTTAGCTTTGCTTTTGGACTAAATCGGTTTGGAGCCAAATAATCAGTGAGTCGTATCAAAACAGAGAGGAAACATGCTAACATTAGCCTAGCATTTCAGCAAACTGTATGTAACGCTAGCTAAGGCTAGGCGCCTGACTACGGCCAAATATAACAAATGGCACTCAAATAGATTCGGTTATGGAGCCCGTGGGTGTGAATAAAATACCATTAGACAAAAGTATGTTTAAGTTATTGTATTCAACTTGTTTTTTTTTCTTTCATATATATAAGAAGATATGCAATAATAATAATATTTATAATAACAGTGATTTTCTATAATATAACCAAAAACACAAAAAGGAAAAAAACAAGCACTCAGCAACAAAAACAATAAACCCTGATGTCACCCAAGAGTTTCTATTTTGGTCCATTCATGAATCCAAATGATCAATAGTCCATCAGTCAATATTTAATTGCTTTTTTTTTTGTCCCTTTTTGTCCATGATCCAGAGCAAATAGGTCCAGAATGAGAAAACAGCTTGGTTCATTTAAATCCTACCGCGAAGCTGCGGTGATCCGGTAGCTCGCCATCCTGAAGTGACACAGGGGGTGGGGAAAAAAACCTGACCGTCGAGCGGTCGGCAGGAAACACCCAATTTAATCCTTCGGCCCTTTTAGTAAGCCTCGATCCAGCCGTATTCTTCTATACGTTTAGAAGACGCCGAGACGAGCAGCTGGCCACAGCGACAGCAGCAACAGCGATTGCAATCCGAGTCACCTGTGACCCGGAACTTAAAGGGTGCTGTCAGTTTGACCCGCCAAAATAAAATACGGGTTTCTTATTTTGTGCAGGTTACATGTAGCTGTTAGGTAAAAATACTTGAAACAGAGAAAAAGAGATGGGATGTGCTTCACCGTCTTTAGTTTTCAAGGATGTACAATGATTCAATGATGATTCAATGAAGGAACTAATAATTATAAATGTATATTTTTTGGAGATAGATTGGTTTGGGGACAACATTTTAAAAATCCAGACTGCTCTCTGCCAAATATCTGATCCAGAAATGAATCTGAACAGGAAACAACTTGGGAGACTTAAAATCTTTTCAAATTATTGAAACCCTTTGACCTCCAGTAATGAAAACATCTGAATGTTTTTCCTGCTTTGCTCTGCATCTGGAGTCAGAGACCCAAACCGCGGCAACGGCGTTGTTTTTGTTTCATTGTAATGATCTGAGCAGCAGAATTTAAACGGCATCAACCAACGTTTAACGTACCCGACTCCGGCCTTCCATCGCTGCTCATGAACTCCTGCATCCGTTTCTCCAGTTTCTGCTGCCGCCTCCTCTTCATCACCACCTCCGGGTTGGAGATCGTCCTGGTGAAGCTGGTTTCTGGCATGTCCTTATAAACCTCCGCCGCCAGACGGTTGTTCTCTCTAAATCATCAAAATATGCAGACAGACGGTGGAGGATGTGGATTAAAAAAAGAAAAACACAGGAGGAGGAACAGACAGGTCAGAGGTCAAGCAGTGTGCAGCCGGTTTAGTTTACCCGTCCTCGCGGCTCAGAATCTGTTCGTCTCCGTCTGGGATCCGAGCAAACTCCTTTTCCCTCTTCTTCTTTTCCTTCTTCTCCTTCTTAGACAAAGTCCTTTTGAAGTTCTGTATCACTCCGTCTTTCTCCTTCTCCGGTCCGTTACTCTGACTCTTCTGGCGAGAATCAGACAAAAAGTAAATCAGAGCAAAAATGTTTCTGCAAAAAGAAACCAGGTTAGGAAAGAATCGAACCTCAGAGAGAAAGGAAAGAAGGAATAAAGCAGCAGGACTTCAGACGGAGGGAGGAGTGGATGGATGGACAAATGGGCAGATGGACGAACAATATGGGTGACAACGGATGGATGGATGGATGGATGGATGGATGGATGGATGGATGGATGGATGGAT